CCGGAGAAGCTGACACTCTAACCGGCAAGAGCAGACATCGGCGGTGCTCAGTTAGCTCAGTGGCTGTACCAAGAGCAGTGGGAATGGCTGCCATTCATCTCTGCCTCCTTCCTCAAGGGTGCCATCAGTGATCCCCTTAAAGTAATAGGAGCAGTTCTCTAAAGGAGGGGGCAGGGGCTCGGTCTTGGGTCAAGTGAAGCTGTAGAGGAGACCAAATAGAAGTATCACAGGTGGGTGGATACCGATCTTCTCTGAAGGCACAGCTGGAAAGATGGAGAAACATGGCTTGAATCATATCTATGACGCCCCTACCCTAGTCGTTGCTGCCTGCCTCTCTTCATTGCACCCCTAAAGGAAACGGTTCTGACAAGCATTTAATGACCCTCTGTCTAGAACCACAGCCCATGCAATGGGAAAACAGCAAATGGAATGTATATGCATACATTTATGTATGTATGTGTATGTGTCTGCTAATTATCTTTGCCATGACTGTGATAAAATTCATAAGTAACTTAGGGAAGAACTAGGTTGTTTTGGCTTACCGCTTGGGTGATAAGTCTGGGGGGAATCTGGCAGATGAGCATAAGACAGTAGCCAGGAAGCAGAGAGAGAAAGGAAAGACAGAGCTCAGCCATTCTCTTTTTTTTTCCCCTGTGTATTCTGTCTGGGATCTTAGCCTGCAGGATGGCAGTTTCTAGTGTGTTATTGTTCTCTCTTTTCTTAAACTGCTTTGGAATCACCCTAGCACACACACTCAAAAATGTGTTACTAGATGGTTCTAAATCCAATTGTGTCAATTGTGAAAACTCATCGTCATCACAGCTTATTCCACTCCGTAGTCAAGCCAGTCATAGATTTTCAAACGTGACAAGCAAGAGAATGTCCTCAGATTGTTTGAGAATGTATCAACTACAAAACACTGACAGTGAGACATAGGGTTGGATAATGTGAGCAACCAAACGAAATAATTCAGGAGGACAGAATTACTTAAAGGCTGTAAGTAACATTATTAAAGGCAGTTTAAAAGGCATTAGAATTCACCAAGCAAGAACAAGTCAGTGTGAAAAAATATCAATTCACAATTAAATAGCTTGACAAAATTCACTCCTGAAGTTTAATGATAATCAAAAGACAAATATAGGCATCCAGGAAATCAGTTTTAGAAACACTGCCAGAATATAGATGAAAAAGCCAAAAGAAAATGGAGAAGACATTTGTCCAGTTTACTTTTTTGCTGCTGTGAGGAAAAAAAAAGAACCACTGACTGAAACTACCTGAGGAGGAAAGGGAAGAAAGGCACTTTTTGGCTTTCAGGTTATACACAGTCTGTGGAGAGAAACCAAGCCAGGAACTCAAGGCAGAAACAAGGAGGTAGGAACTGAAACAGAGACCATGGAGGGATGCTGTGTACTAACTTGCTTCCTCTGGATTACTCAGCTGTCTATCTTTGACAGCCCAGGCCCTCCTGCCCAGGGGTGGCCTCACCCTCAGTGGGCTGCCCATGCTATGCCAATCAGTAAGCATGACCACACATTACAGACTAACCCGAAGGCGGCAATTGCCTGATCCCCTCTTCTTAAGAGTGTCAAGCTAACAACTGACTCTAGCAATGACCACATTCTAGAAGAAGACAATAGATGCAATGGAGAAATTACCAAAGAACTATTAGGAGACTGGACCCAGTTAAAGTGAAGGAATGTAAAATATATTTTAGAGGTGTGACTGTGGCCACCAGGAAAAGTAATAAAAGGTGTTGATTGAGATCAATTCCTCTGGGAAATAGGTGTACATTTTTATAGAGTAATTGACTTTTTTCTAACATTGTCTTACACATGCAAATACACACTTAAGTATCAAACAGATATCCAAATAGTATGTGCATGTACTTAAGGGAAGAGTGGAGATTACCACCCCAGAGGAAGGTGACATCTGACACCAACCTGTCCCTTTGGTAACCTCTGGATGGAGAGGTAACCGTGGACTGTATCCCCACAGCAAACACACAGATGCCTTCACAATCACAAATCAAGGTGTAGGCAGCATGAGATAGGGATACCTGTATCATGACAAGTATTCTATGTTAGCATGTAATCACAGATATGAAGGTTCTCATGTGTCAGCCAACTTACCTGCTACCCTCTTTTCTACCACTAATTAAGCAGCTCTGCCCAGAAGCCCATGCTGAGGGACCCAGAGAGCTTCACAAAAGCATTCATTGTGTAGGGATGGCCAGTAATTGAAGAGCCATCAGCCGATAGTCTATGACGTGCTGGCGATCTAACCTGGTTAGGTACTTTTCATCACTGATAAATGGAAGGGAGGAACAAAGGATTTTGGCTCATGGCTTTAGAGTTTTCATTAGAGGTCGGCAGACTCCATTTATCTTGGCCTATGGCAAGGCAGATGTCATAGTGAAAGTAGAATAGCATAGATTCATGTCACTCATTTCATAGATGCCAGGAAACAGAGGGCATGCTGTCTGGAGACAAGATACACCTTCAAAATCCCAACTCCAGTGACAGTTCGAATCAGGCCAAGTTTCAGCCACCTCCTCTATCTCCCAATGGTTGACCCAGTCATGAGTCCATACACAGATCAACCCATCATTTAAGACACAGCCACTCACTTCTCAGCTACACCGTCACCTAAGGACTGGACCTTTACCACATGAACCTCCGCTGTAATATTCCAAATGCAACCCAGAGCTCCTGGTGTCTGGAGTTAAAGGAAGTTAATAAAATCTCTTTCCAGCTTCAAACATTTGGCTGGAAACTAACAAGGTCAGAGTCTCTGGGCAAAGATCCACCAACTGCGACTCCCAGACCACTGGTGCCACTCAAGTCCACAGCTGGCCTCCAGCTCTCATCGCCTGTTCTTGGGTCTCAGGGATTCTACCACCACTTTAGAGCATGCATTCCCTTCCAGTGGCTATGTCTTTTACTCGGGAGAGCTTGGAAAACACTTTATTGAAACTCAAATGACAGTATTTTTAAAAAAGCCTTGAAAGAGCAGTGTTCACTTGGCATTCAGAAGTGACAAGGGGGCTGCTGGTGTCTACAGTGGAGCAGGAGGAAGGTGGCTGGTGTGTGTGTCGTGTGTAACAACAGCTGGCACCAAAGAGGCTGGGTATTGACACTGAGACCGTTTTTTCCCAAGTAATATGGATATTTAAAGTTGCTTAATGTTTTATACATTTAAAAGGGTTGTTGGAGATCTCCACATATTTCTCAAAGTATCTTTTCTATTTAGATGTTTTTTTTTAAAAAGTAAAGAAAACTTTTCAACTGTCTTCAATGACAGTTTTGTCTTTCAGACCCAATAAGATGTATAGAAGACCTTGTATGGATGTCCCTTCTTGCATGTCCCTTCTGGAAAGCCCTTGGTGGGACACATGGAGGACAGAGAAGTCCCTGGTGCCAGTAAGAGCCTGCTGTGTCTCTGTCAGCCACTGTTTGGTTTCCTCCTCTTGAACAAGGGAAACTTCACACAAGAGAAAGCCTACTCTGTAGATAGGGATACAAACACTGTCCGTTTACACTTAGTGTGAACACAGTCAAAAGGCCAACACTGTGTTGCTGAGGATGAGGATACAACATCCCTTTATTCTCAGGTTTGATCACAACCAAAACAAATTATTCAAGCTGCAAGTGACCAAACGCTGCCCCATCCAAGTTAGGCTTATCAGGAAAGCCAGTCATGAAATTAATTATACCTCTTTGTAGCGTCCAATCTAACGCCCCATGATCTTTAAGCCCCAAGGTCACTTAAATTAAGTCCTGATGCTCTCTAGTAAGTCATACCTGACATTTAAAGACTTTTCTAACACTCTTGCTGATCTGGTCAAGTCTCCAGGGAGTATCTCTCTCCAGGAAACCATAGTAAATCCAATTTATTTGGCTCCAGGGGGATTAGCTTGGTCTCTGCTGAAAGGTTTGACAAGCTTCAGCAATGCTGTGACTCTCTCTACCCTTTCTGATTTTCCTTGTCTCAATCACTAAAGAGCAGTGACACTCTTAGTCCTGGCAGTAATCTCCATGTTCACCATCTATGGAGAGACAGGGGTCTCTCTCTGATCACATCTCTGTAGCCCTTTCTTTCTATGTTACTTTCATAGACAAGAGAGCGCCCTTGCTTCATAGTACTGTGACTATCATTTTTGGAACCAATCAAAGAGGGAATTGACAGCACAGAGCTTTGAAGGCCCTAGGTAAATCTGGCAAAGTTCCAATAACATGGCTCACTTTATTATTTTTTACAACTGTCTCCCAGCTGCATAGCTTTTCAATTTACAAACAGCACATTTCTTCCACATCTATGTCAGTGAGATTTTTGAATCCAATTAAAGAGAAAAAACCTGCAAAATAAATAATAATAAATGCTTGAAGGACATCAAACAAGGAAACAAAAGTCATGCAGGGTTTTGGAAACCCGACTTTATTCCCTCTCTTTCTGGGATGCTTGGAGTTTAACTCACAGATTTTCATCTTAAGAGTTCTAGATCCCAAACCTCTACCTGAAGTACTCCTAATTTTCACTCCCCTCTTCTCCTCCCCCTTTCCTTTCTCCCCTCCCCCCTTTTCTGCACCTTCTCATCCCCTAGGTAAGTGCTTCAAGACTAAGCTAAAGCTACAGCCTTCCTTTCATTTTTTTTTTCGAGTCATGGTTTCACATTGTAGGCCAGGTTAGCCTAGAATTCGCAGCAATCCTCCTACCTCCACCTCCTGGAGTACCTGAGCCACCAGCAAAGACTAAGTATGCCAAGGCTGCTCATGCACTCAAGGAGATCTGGGAAAGATCAGCCCTTCTGATTGCCTCTAGTCCATGGAAGTTTCAATTCTTCAAACTGGGCAAAAACTTCATTTCTAAAACTGCTTGGACAGCAGATTCTTTGGTTCTCCTGAGTCCCAGATTCGCAAGTCACCATGAGAGCCAATTTGTGCTGCCTGTGGGAACAACCCTGAGAACAGTGGGTAGGAGAGCTAAGAGAGTGTGTGCTGTGCTGTGCACCTTCCCCTTTTAAGCCCTGCTGCACCTTGGCCATCAGCTGAAACCCCTTTGCTCAGAGTGGAGTGGAGGGCAGCATTCCTGTACTCCCTGATGTCCTGGGGGTGGGGAAGAGGACAGGGATGGAGGCTGGCCCCCAGCATCCGCAGGAGGATGGGCAACGCTGCAGAATAACACCCGGGGGAGCCTGGGTGGTGCAGCCTCAGATGCCGGCAGAGCCCAGCAGCCAGGGGAAGCTGGCTTTGGCCTCGGTCTTTGAAGAGTTCCCTGGAAGTTGGAGGGGCGGGGCGAGCAGCACTCTCCTGTCCTACCGCAGTCCTGCGCGGGAGTGCGTGGAGGAACTCGGCCTGCAGTCTCAGTCCCAGTGCTGTCCAGCTGCTGTCCCGCTCCTGAGCAGGGGTGGACACAGGCTGCTGCCCACGGGGTCGGCGGGGCGCAGGCACCGGGATGGCAGAACGCACCGGCAGGATGGAGGGGCTGGTTTTGCTCAAGGCCCTGGTTACCAGGCTGCTGTTCATGTTGCACTCCCTGGTCGCTGTCTGGAGAGTGACCTGGGTGAAGAAAGAGCACCGTTACTGGCTGCTGGCCCTGCTCAACCTCTTGCTGATCCTGGAGACCATGCTCACTCTGAAGTTCAAGCACGGCAGAGGCTACAAATGGTGAGTGTCCTGGAGGTTGCAGAGGGTCGTGGGCATTGTTCATCATGGTCCTAGCAGGTGGCAGCAAAGCCCTTGTCCCAGCAGTGAGTAGCTTCCTCGCTGGCATTGGGGCCAGTTTGGTTCTCCGCTGAGCTTGCCAGCACATGGGATGCCGATTCATCTTTTGGGCAAGTCGGTGATACCTTGGGCCCCAGGGCAGCACTGGGAAGGCTGATCCAGCTAAAACTGTCTTCACTAGAGGAGTGGAGCTGCTTCCTACGTTCCAGTGTGAGACCGACCTGGGACCAGTCCGGCATGTACGTGCAAGAGTGAGGATGCCTTGAAGTACAGCATGAACCTTGCAGAGCTGAGTACTCTCAGGTGTCCATTGCTCAGTGCCCCCCCCCTGCACCCACCTTTGGTTTTAGCCTCTTCCCTTCTTTCCAGCCCTCAGTGCGCCTGTGGCTTTAGCCACTTCCAATTCTGTCCAACCCCCAACGTCCCTTGCTCTCCAGTGAGATACCAGTTTCAGGTGTCTGGGTTTGGTGGCTTTGGAGCTTGGCAGCCTGCCTCACCAGGCATGGCTTGTGCTACAGATACTAGAGGAGGGACCAGCAGTGGTTCAGTCTTAACCTCAGCATAGGAACTCAGGGTTCGGCTGGTGGCTGTGTATCTCCTATATTTCCTCCTATAGGCTGAATGCAAGTGAAAAGGGTTGCAGAGAGCAACAGTTCCACCTCAAACTTCTGCAAGTTAGGCCTTTTCCCTCGAGGAAGTAGGTGGTGGTATTAGTTTATTATTAGTTGCATGGTCTTTGCCATTGTTTTAGCTGTCACGTTCAGAGACAGGAGCCCCTCTGTCAACGGACTGCAGAGAGGTTGTATATTTCATAGTTACTGTGGAAGAAAATGGGCTACTTTTGAAGATGATGTGAACATGACTTCAAACCTCTGCTTTTGAAAAATGTCTAGAATTTCCAATGCTCAAGTCCCTGGAGGCCTGAGGATTGCTAGCAGAGCAGGGGTAGGCGCATTACTTCCTATCCCCCTTCCCACCAACAGTTTGTTAAGCATGAAGCATTTCCCATCTGACTTCTAGACATCACAAAGAAAAATGCTATTCACTTCCCAATAGGAGACTTAAAAAGGGGAAAAAGAAAAGGGGAGAAATGTTTTGTCACCCACATATCCTATGGTAGATAAATTTGAGGTGTTTTTGTCTTTTTTTCTTTTTCTTAGTTGCAATGCACTAGAGTAGACATACCTTTCACTGCAGGAAGTCCAAGCCCCAAATCTGTCTGGTGTGAAGTAGTCCTGACACCAACCATGAGCACTTCTGGGGCAAATGTAGATCTCAGAAAGCAGCCAGCTCAGCAAAACCTGAAGTAACCCCTTCCTTCCCAAAAGAAGGCCAGAGCCATTCTGGCTGTATGGAAGTACCATAGCTGGTTTTGCGTGTACTGCTGACTCCGGCTGTCATGGCACTTAAAACAAGAAAAAGGGAAAATAATTTGGACAAAACGTACATGGGTCAATGATTAAAGAAATGAGCAAAGATTAAAGGGTAGCAGGAGCCATGCCAGTATTCAGGGGGGGTGGGGGGACCTTCTATTCCAACTACAGAGCTCTGTTGTGTGTCACGTATTACATCACTGGCTCAAGAGAAAGTTTGCTGGCTTGATATCCCAATTAATATTTGAAAGTAAGGAAGGGGGAAAAAGCTGATACATTTGGTTTATTACAAAAGTTCAGGGACAAATGGTCTGCTCTTAGTTCTACACACTCCCCAGGCTACACTTTGATGCTAAAGAACACAGGCTGTAAGCCAGCCTGCAAAGATGGTCATTTGCACTCTAGATACAAACCACAAACTAGTAAGAGAAAAGTAAAATAATGGGCTTTGAGAAATATAAATGAAATTATCCTTGAAATAACATGATGACAATGGGAAAGGTTTTGATTTGGAGCCTTTTTCATTCTAGGTTGGAGTTTTCTGAGAAAAACACAGCATAATCATTTTCTGTTTGAGAGTGTTAAGAACCATTTTCCATCCCAAATTGCTAGCTGATAGAATCAAAGAGAGAGAAAAAACAAATACTACAGTAATATCTATGCTAACTATATGCGGAGAAATACAAGGCATGTTATCTATATGGAAATTGGTAATTATATATAGTTGTATGTATAGAGTCACATGAACTAAGATAGACAAAATAGGTAGGTAAGGTTTTGAACCATGGGCATTCTTTCTACTTTGCAATCTGTGCATAGAACTGAAAGTGTCTGTATGTAAAGAAATGAGCAAAAACATTAACTCCTCAACATATTTGTGGAAAATTAAGGTGAAAACACCATGATTTATATCAAAGGATTAGTGAGAAAATTGTGGCTTATTCATGCTGATACTATTGAAAAGGGTGAGATAGATTTTTAACCGCTGTAGCAGAGAGCTACCCATTGTGTATTACCAGGTCACTACAGTTACAGACACCTTTGTCATGGCTCATTTGTTACAAGGATGGATTTAGAGGAGAATTCTACATTTTCCAATTGGAAACACTTGTTATACCCATCACAGAAGAAGAAGTAAAGGATGTGGCTGAATGAGAACAACTACAGAGAAGAAGAAAGAGGAGGAAGAGAGGGAAAAGAGAAAAAAGTGATCAGTCAACTCAATGTTTTCTTGATCTCTATTTTTTCAGTTATCTGGGAAACAATCCAGCTGATCTAGGAATTGTCATTTAGGCAAAGTTGAAACATACAAGACTGTTTCAGTTGCTTTCCAGACAACAGTGCTAGAGAGGAGGAGGCTATCTCAGCAGTAGCAATTCTCCCATATTAAAAGATCAATTGAGTCCAGTAGAGTTGAATCAATGGCTATGACAGACTAGAGTGAAGCAGAACAGCTCAATCCTGCAGGCGGAAGTAAGCATACATGCAGGGCATAGAAATCCCTATTACACCCATGAACTTCCTTTGAACCATTCCAGGCTAATTTGAGTATTATTCATTTTGTTAAAATTTAAACCTGGACCCTGGAACACTAAACCAGGGATGGCACAAATCCAGGTACTATGAAGGACAGTGGGGATTCAATTTCTTGATATAGCAAGCATGTGCATATCTCCAAGGACATCTTCCCAGTCCTTTGGAAGGGAAAAGTGGAGCTAGTTGCTGAGCTCAGCTGCCCAGGGACAAGGAGCATTACAGCATCCCCATTAACTTGCCAGCTGGAACAGTTAATGCTGGAATCCTATAGAACCCAAAGGGTGGACCCACCAGTAACACACCCATAAGGAACACCAGGGGAGCTTGCTTTTCATTCCCCTAGTGTTTACATTACCTGGATCTCACTTGTGTGTCTCCAAGATGGAAACCAGCAACACTTAGTTTAATTTTTTTTCTTGATTTTTATTTTCAGTTGTCTGGGCAAAGATCCAATGGATCTGTGAATTGTCATTTAGGTAAAATCAAATACAAGAGAATATTTCAATTGCCTCCCAGCCAGTAGTGATGAAGTACTCCTCGGGGGATAGAAAAAAAATTACCCAAGTTTGTGACAAGTTTGAAGCCTGTTTGAGAAAATATCCCAAGTTGAATTTACTGGCAATAGTACAGAATTTTAAGCATGGCTCTTTCTTCATCAGAACATTAATAATGCAAAGGACTTTTGTCATCTCTCCTTCCTCCTTCCTTTATGTTTGATTAGGCAAGAGCTATTTTTTGTTTTTGTTTTGTTTTCTAGACAGTCTTAGATAGTAGCCTTTAACCTGAGGCATTCTTTCTTCCTCCGGAGTGTTGTGATTATAGATATATGCCACCAAATCAGGTTTGACAAATATTTGTGTGGTAAATAACAACAATATTATGCAAGATAGTATGGCCTGACAAAAGTAACAGGGAACCAAAAAAACCCTGAAAATTTTAAATAAAATATAGCATTTTGATTAAGTGTTCTCATGTGTGGAATGATAATCATTGTGAATCTTTAGTGTTTATCAAGTTCCGAGGCCTGCTGGATTCTACACCAGTGGTCCTGTCTAATCCAACAATCACTGCAATTGTTTTTTTCCTCTATGTTCCCCATTTTCATATGGAAAACTGAGGCACAGAGTTGCTAAACCTTTCCACTCAGGCTCACAGTCTTGGGAAGGTGGAGAGAGGGAGTCATGAAGACTGCAAGCACTCATCCTTGTCTGGTGCACTAGCTCTTGAACATTCCGGAGGAGTTGGGATGGGTGAGCAACAGTGGGGAGGAGAGGGAACTTTGCAGAATTTGAGTTGCATCTGGAGGGAGGACACTCCCAGTTGACAGGGCATGGAGCCTTGAGCCTCACCCCTCATTCAAGCACGATGGAAGTCAGCCACTCATTAGCTGTAGCAGATACACATATAAGGAAATGTATAAAGAGAAGCCTTCCAGCCAGCTTGGTTCCAGAGCCGCATCAGTCCCAAATAAACACACAGGAGGCTATATTAATTATGAAGCTGTTGGCCTTGCTTATTTCTTACTGGCTATCTCTGACTTAAGTATTTATCCCATAATTGCTAATCTAAGTATTTCTCTTACCGGAGGAGTTTCCGGGCTTCTTATCCCTATGGCGGTTACATCTTGACTTCCTTTGTTTCTACTACCCAGAGTCCTCCTAGACTCCTAGTCCCACCTATCTATCTTGCTTCCCTATTGGCCAATAGTGCTTTATTGACATATACACAGGACTTCCCCCATCAGAAATGAATAGAAGTAAATTCCTTCCCTCAGTCACCTCACTATTTTAATGAAGAAGTGCATACTTAATAAACTAATGAGTAAATATATTGACTGAATTAATGACTGATATTAACAGTGGGCACCTGTGTGATGTGGATTACAGAGTGAGAAATTGGTTCTGCTTAGTAGTTGCGGGGGTAGTTGGGCTAGGAAGATATTTTCAAAGTGAAATGGTCTATATTCATGACTTTTCTGTTGCTTCAAAGAAACACCCATGGCCAAGGCAACTTGCAGAGGAGTCTGCTTTTTCT